GCCAGGGAGGACAGGGGGCAGCCAAACATGCAAGAGGGAGCCGGAGCAGCAGCAGGTAATGTGCTGTGTGGGAGAGAGCCTGGGGGTCCCTGGCTGGGGGTGGGGTGGAAGGGAGACATGTGGGGAGGTCACGTATCCTCCGCTTTAGCTGGTGCCCCCCACTATGGGGAGGCACCAGTCATCTGGTCTTTGATAAAAAAGTTAAATAGCATAGGGCCAAGAACCAATCCATGTGGGACCCCAGTAGAAACAGACCCACTTGATGACAATTCCCCATTTTAAGACTTATTTTAAGACCTATTAATTATCTCATTTTAATCAATTTAAGGTGTGACATGTTAATTTTATATTAGTCTAGTTTTTTTAATCAAAATGTCCTGCGGTAATAAATCAAACCTTACAGAAGTCGAAGTACATTATGTCAACACTATTACCTTTATCAACCAAACTTGTAATCTTATAAAAAAAAATCAATTTAGTCTGACAGAATCTATTTTCCATAATCCTATGTTGATTTGCATTAATTGTATTTTTCTTCTTTAGTTCTTTATCTTGCCGAAGATGGATGTCAGGCTGACAGGCCTATAATTACCCAGGTCATCCCGTTCACCCTTTTTATAAATTGGCACTACATTAGCTTTCTTCTAGTCTTCTGGAACTTCCCCAGGGCCCCAGGACTTATTGAAAATCATCATTAATGGTCCAGTAAGCTTCTCAGCCAGCTCTTTTAAAACTCTTGGAGGCAAGTTATCTGGACTTTTTGATTTAAAATGTCTAACTTAAATAGCTTCTGTTAACATCCTCAAGAAATAATAGTGGAATGAAAAGAGCGATATCATCTCATCATATGTTGATAACATCTGTTTTTTTCTCCATATATAAAACAAATATTTTGAACACTTTTGTGGTTTTTTGAATTATTATTGACAATTCTTCCATTTCCATCTAGCAATGGACCAATACCATTATTAGGATTCTTTTTATTCCTAATATATGTTTTAAAATTCCTTCTTATTGTCTTTAAAACTGGCCAGAGATTTCTCTTTATGCCCCTTGGCTTCCCTTATCAATTTTCTACAATTCCTATCTTTTGATATTCATTACTATCAACTTCCCCTTTCTTCCATTTGTTGTATTTTTTGTTTCATTCATTCATTCATTCATTTTATTTTTTACACTTTCCCTCTAAGCCAGTTTGCTTTTTCACCAGCATGGCCTTCTTCCTCAATTGTGGGATTATGGTTTTTGGGGCATCTAGCAAGGTGTTCCTAAATAATTCCCAGTTATCATTCAAAACTTTCTGATTAAATTCTTCCTTCCGGCTGATATGGCTCATATTTTTTTCAGCTTTGTGAAACTTGCACTGTTAAAGCACCAAGTATATACATTACTGGTCTAGACTCTGTATCATAAATACGATCAATCCATGATCACTTGTATCTAAGATACCTGTTTTTAATAGACAGAAGAGTCTTGCTAGCTGAAAAAAGGTGGATCCTTCTCTGACTCACTCCCCCAACTGACCCCAGTAAGTCTGGAGTATATGCACTACACAGATGAGTTGGCACAGTGATGCTATTTGCTCTCACTGTGGTTATGTATATATTCAAAGGGATCTTAAGTATTACCCTCACTACACTTATTGACTCTTGCAAAATCTAAGTGTACTCACTTTGCTTTTGTCAATCAGGTGGTTCTGAATATACAATGCTGAGTTCCAACAGCTGTGAAGACTGAAATGCCCTGCACCAGAGAACATTGACCTATGCCTAATTTTAGCTATAAGTCAAATATTAGTAGCAGCTGATTGTTTGCTTTGATAGAGCATTAGAAAAGTGCACACACCAGTGTTGTGTGTAGTGGCAACTTTCACAGTGTTACGACTCTTTCTGAAAAGCACTCCTCAATGACTATGTAAATAAGGGGTAGCAAAGCAATGGATTTTGCTATTATGTTTGTTATTAATTGCTTTGAGCAAGCTGGTACCATTCTTAGTGACAATGAAGTCAACTTCCAGAATCCAGGTACCCACCTTCTAGCCAGATGCCTAGAATTTCTTGCATACTTTCAATCCAATATGTTTAGGGATATGTGGGGATATGGTCTTTGCTGAGGAGCTGACAGTGAACATGGAAAGGTTATGCTGCTGGCACTACCAGACCTGCAGCATGATGGGGAAGGAAGCAGCAAGTGAACCTGGTAACAAAAGCACAAGTTCAGTGAGGCCAGCCAACTACTTCAGTAGGGGATCAAAGATAAACACGCACAGGTAAACAAGGTATTTATGCTGCTCAGGTGTCAGCAGTGCACCTAATGCCATTTTTATCAGAAGTTTGAAAAAAATCTGTTAAATACAAGGCTGGCCTCACTGTTCTCGAGACCATTCTACATCTTGTGTTAAAAAAATCAGTAGTTGCCTAGAGCCAGTATCCTGTACAAACTTCAGAAATTCATGGCTGTACCTCATAAGTTAGTTCTGTTATGTGTGGGGGTGAGGCTGAAACTACTTGAACTTAGAATGAAAAGATTACATGATGAGACTAGTACTAACACTGCTGCTCTGGTGTTGCTTTTTTCACACTGAGAGTGGCTGTGGCAGAGGAGAAGGGAGGACTAGAGGACAGAAGTGCTGGTGCTACTACTGGTACCTGAAACAGAAGAACAGCACTACTACCAGCAGAAGAGTAAAATAACCTGAATGAGAGGAAGGACAGACAGTGTCAGCTGGCCTGCTGCCACCACTTTTCTTCTGCATATATGGTGATTCACTGGAAATTGTGAGTGTGATATTGAACTCAGACTGCGCAGCCTGGGGTTTTTTGTGTGTGGCTCTATTGGAGCATACTCATCATACACTAAATAGAATGTTTCTTATTAAGATGGGGGTGCCCGTCCAATACAGGGGTGCCTGTCAGGTCTTGTGAATCTACCACAGCAACTACACTTGTACAACATGGGCCAGATCTTCATAGTCTTCCCGCCTCAGCTGCTTTGCATTGCTTCTTGTGAATGTATGCAGCTGAAAATGCTACCTACTGGTGATGGATGCCCACAATCATATGGAGGCATGCCTGCACCGCACCGGGCCTTTGTCTGTGTGCGTGTTGCTATGCTTGTCACTTTTCTCCTCAGTTTCTGCAATAGCCTACAGTTCCACAGTTTCCACTGAACAAGGGGTACCAATATTAACTTCTGGTTTTTGTCTTCTTGTTACTTCTGTTCTAGTAGCCAACAACTTCAGTACAGGCATTGCTTGGCTCTCAGCAGAAGCACAGAATACATGCGCATCCTCACACAAATGTATACAGATCTGGAGGGCTGACCCATTATATTGGTCTCCATTACACATCCAACACAAACTGGTTTTGTTTTCATGCCCTGAGACATTTGGTTCTGCTCTGTTCTGTGTCACTAGGTGGCTACTGCTATGAGCTCTGTTACAGTTGGGATTTAGGAAGAACTCTCAACTAATAACAATGTAAAGTAAGAGAACAGACCAGAATACAGATCAGCAACAACTCCCTTTTTTGCTGTTGTTTTTCCACAAAAATAGCCCCAAGAAGGCTGCTCCCTTCCATAATTTTAAGTTGGGCTTTTAAAGTGAACTATTGTTTTTATGGAAAGTGACACTTCCCACCATGACATTACAGCTTTCTTTAAGGCACACATACAACACTACCATCATATATATCACCAGCCATAGCAGATATGCCCTGATATTTCAAAGCCTCTATTTATTTCCCAACAGTGAACTGGAAACAGGTGATGCCGGTTGAAAACTCTCCTTAGGCCTGAATTTCAAACCAGGTGATTTGTATTTGTATTTATAAAAGTAAAAGCAGTGGTGCAGAACTCCCATTTAAAAAAATATTACCTTAGCAAATCCTGGTCCTCATCCCCTTCCTGGATGTTAATCAGCTGCCACAAAAAAGCAACTCACCCTTCAGTGGCAGACCCTGGTCCATATTTTAATTGAACAGCACTCAGCTGCGTTACTACATCATTACACAAGTACAGATTTGCTAATGGACCTACTTTTAGTATTATAGATTTACAAGAAAGGGACCCATGCTCAGCAGCTGTCAATCTGTACAGTCCCATTGAAGTCAATGGAGGCAGGCCCATTTACACCAGCTGGACTAGGAAAGTGTCATTCAGTTGTACTGACAATGCCATCACAATAGCTATGCCGTACGGATCTGTAGATAATTTTTTCCTGGGTATCTGCTGTATTGGGCAAATCTGCCCTTCCCACTGTGGCAGCAGAGGTCCTCAGATGTAGTGAAAGTGGTTTGTTTCTTCTGTACAGGGGAAGTGGACAGGATTTGGGGAGTTTATGCAGATTCTCCTTACACAGCAGGGTTTTGCAGCGATGAAGGAGCAGCCCAAGAGAGTGGGGATTGGCCTGATAAATGCATCACCACTGTGATAGTTTGGCCATTGCCTCCTGTCAGACAGGGGCGCAATGAGGCAATTGTAGCTTCAGGACTTCAGTGTGACATTCATGCTAATACATCAAGTTCTGCTTCTTGACCCTAATATGAGCAAAAGAGTTTTGGCCATAGGGCTTTAAGCAGCTTCAACCCTCCACAGGGATTTAATTTGATTTGAGCAGTTTATTCAGCATCGAGAGATTCAAAGGAATATGGCAGCATTCAATTATTGCGGAGGTCATGAGACCTAGATTAAGAACTGAAGAGTTTAGGGAGCCACAAGGTGAATACTTCCAGAGCAAGGAACTTGCAAGCCTAACTTGCAAGCATCAGCAATAGGCAAACGTCAAAAAAAATTAGAATTTGGAAAGCTCTAAAAAGCTCTAAAAAGTTGGATGCTTATCAAAATGTGTTGAATTTGTAACACTGGGCTCTGATGAATTTTCTGGTACTTCTTGCTTCCAGTAAGGGCAAGAGAGTTAGGCAGTGCTCGGAGGCACTGGAAAGTTAAAATTGTTAAAGATAAGCTTCAGTTCAAATTTCAGGCCAGTTGTTTTTCTCCTCCTGAACCAGCTCTCCCATCCCTAGTGGCAAATTCCTTCTTTATCTAGTGCACAAATTTGCCTTGGGCTGATTCTTCCTGTAGTGGAGCTGGTGGAACAACAAATAGTAGCAGTGTTTGTCGGCTGAGAACAGTGACCTGGCTTGGGAGGTTGGTCCGTTGGTAAGCAGCAAGAAGTCACAAAACAAAAAAGTCACCCCCAAACCCAGCAGCAGCTTGGACTGGATTTAGATCAGTTTCTTCATGTTAGCTGATGGAATTAGTACACCTCTACCCCAATATAATGCGACCCGATATAACACGAATTCGGATATAACACGGTAAAGTGCTCCAGGGGGTAGGGCTGCGCATTCCGATGGATCAAAGCAAGTTCGATATAATGCGGTTTCACCTATAACACGGTAAGATTTTTTTTTGGCTCCTGAGAACAGCGTTATATTGAGGTAGATATATTATTATATATATTAGCTTTATTAGTGTTAGGTTGCTAGTTTTATTTTTTAGAGGTTTGGGGGTGTATTGGTTAGTTTCATGTTTTTTCAGTTATTCCAATTTCAGATTCCATATAGCTTCTGGACACTGCTAGCTTGCCCTTGGCAGCCAGCCCTCTTCATTGCTTTGCTTGTCAGCCTCATGGTGGGTGTTTGTATTACTCACTGCTTACATTCAGGTGGTCTTTCTTCTCCGCTGCCTGTGGTTTCTTTGGTGGCTGTCTGTGGGCACATGTGCTGCTGCTGCTCTTCCTGGTGGTGTCTTCTCGGTTAATATACTTAGTGCCTTAGCTGACTCTTTTGTGAACTTCCCTGGGGATTTTCACTGATTTACTGCCAGTTCTCATGTTGCTGCCTTCTGCTTTCCCTGCAGTTTTCCATCACTGTCGGGCTACTGAAAGGCTGCTTTGGATAATCATTGCCTGTGTGTAGCAGGTACAGACTGCTCTTATGGCAATTACTATTCCAATGCAACCAGATCATTTGCATGTCTTACCATGTTCAGGAAGGTTGTAATCCACACAGGAACAAACAATCCACAATGAAAATGATAAAACTATTCAGAGAATCATCATCAGATGTAGTGTATAATGTTTTGATAATGATGTTTGATAATGACGTTTTGATAATGGATGTTGCTGGTTGAAAACTCTTTTTGAAAATATCAGCCATGAAACTGCACATACAAATGCACAATTACTCATGCTAATCAGCGATTTGTGCATACAGATGGATAGTCAGATGCACATCTGTCCAGTCAGCATGAATATTCAGGGTATCTGAAGGCACAACGTTTTTGGGCACAAATATTTTAACATCAGGGCCTTCACGCCCACTTTATTTTTCTGAAGATCTCTGAATCTTTCACTTTTTCTGTTTGCAAGGTGGTTGAGACTGAATAAAGATCCTGTAGAGGTGTAATCATGGCAAATGCAGGTAGGTTGCTATCACTTGTATTTCAGTCACATCATGTAACGATCCCACTCATGCTTCCACTGAAGTATTAACCTTTGAAATCTAAATCAGATCCTTCTATTTAAATACAGTTCTCTTCTTTAACATTCAGAGTCACTTTAATATGTCCTTGAAAAGTGCAGTTTTGTTAATTGAGGATCTTAATTAATGGATTGACCTTGGATCTAGTTTACATCAAGACTTTGACGGTTTTGTCTTCATTAAGCAGCAATTTTGGTCATGACCACTGCCTGAACATCTACACTGTTGGGGGGGGGGGGGGAGGATAGCTCAGTGCTAAACCCAGGGTTGTGAGTTCAATCCTTGAGGGCAGCCACTTAGAGAACTGGGGCGAAATCAGTACTTGGTCCTGCTAGTGAAGACAGGGGGCTGGACTTGATGACCTTTCAGGGTCCCTTCCAGTTCTAGGAGATAGGATATCTCCATATATTATTATTATTTTTAGCCCTGCATTGACCTGGGCTCTGAGACTGTTTTGTGAGCTTTTAAATGCAATATAGATGTGCCCTCCCTTGCTGACGCTGAGAGGGGATAACAGAGTAATTCACAGTTCTGGGAACCTCAGCAGATGTTCATACAGCAACATGATTTGGAGGAAATATGGGACTAAGAGGGTATTGGGGCTACTGAAAAAGAAATTGGGAGCCAGGGTGTGGCCTGTATGCTGGCTGTTGGTGTCAGGGCTGTGAGCCAGAGCAGCAGAGCATTTAAGGCGCCCACAGTTGCAGTGCAGGTGGTGACAAAACGCTTTGCTAGTCAAGGTTGAACCCCAAAACATCACACCATTGTAGCTGAACATTCTCTGTATGTTAGATTCAACCTTGTTGCTGAAGCAGTGTATGTTAGCAATGAGCCTCTATAACAGCACTGAGCATATCTGGCTGTAGTTAGTGCTGGATTTATATCTCACAACCTGACAAAGATCAGTTTTAATAAAATCATATTTCTCCTCATTAACATAAGAGAGTTTAATAGATTTTCACTTTTAGAGATTATTGTTCCACATCAGCTATTCAGAAGCTAGGTCCACTTTACAAATCTTCATCCTATTTTTTGAGATACATCTGCTTGAAACCAAGAGGATGTATTTCTACACCAGGAGAAAGCCTGCCAAAATTAGCCTGCTTTCTTCCTGTTACCATAGTGCCATTGAGTTCATCAACCAGAACTATGCAAAATTCAGTAAATTCATTTTGCAAATTTGTTCATATAGGTTCAAATCCCCAGAATTTCACTTTGGGTTTTCAAGTTCAAACAAACCTGAAACTCAGTCAACACTGCCAAGTTTCTCTTTATGTTGTGTCAAACCATGCAAAACCATTCAACCTTGCATCGTTTCCACTCAAAATCATAAACTGCTCTCTGGCACCTAACACTGAGCTCAAATGAATTCAAAACTTGGCCAAGGCTTACTTGAAAGGTTCATAGACTTTGCCAAATCTTTAAGTAAATTTCTCCGAGGGTCAGGTTTCATTATGAACATATGCATAGTTCTCCACATTGTCTCGTATTGACAACTGTCTCCATAGAACAGAATCTTTGTAGCTCTTGTGTTGCTATAGGAATTAGTTCAAAGGATTCTGAGGCACATCCAGGAAACAGAGGTGACAGATATACGTGGCTGATCAGAATACAAAATCACTGTTTATGAAGGGCAATTAGTACAGTAGAAGATCAGGTAAGTTCACAGGATGGGTGGTTATGCTAAAAGAGATCAATAATAATTGAGATCTACTGATGAAAAGGACTATATTAAAGAACATCAGTATAATCCCAATTTTATAGATAGGGAAACTGAGGCACAGGGAAGTGAAATGACTTGCCCATAACCACACATCAGCAGTCAGGACTAGAACCCATATCTCCTAAGTTCTATGCCAATGCCCTGTCCACTAAGACACAATGCCTCTTCTTAATATGACAAGGAGCCAAATAACAATAAACAAACCTGAACAGGTTCAGCAATTCAATTTGGAGAAGTACAGAAAATCAAGATTTTTTTAAAAGACTTGTCAAATATGCAAAATTAGGCTATAAATCTTGTAATAACTGGAGCACTAATAAGATTTCTACTACTGCCCACTTCTGGTCATGTTGGAAACACAGAGAGACATCTTTTGGTGTTTCACCCTCCCTGGTTCCAGATAGAAATAAGTGGTGAGGCATATAGTATGGTACAGATGCTGGGATGTGAATGAGCTGCAGAGAGCAAAGTTCATGGGGATGATGTGCAAAAGTGGCTTAAAATTCACCTTTGCACACTCCTGATCTAGCAACTTTGTATAGGGCTAGTTGCCCTGCACCATGTTATAGCAGACTGAGGACTACTCTAACTCATGCCAATTGCAAATGGCCCTGGGTCTCAAACAGAACTGAGAGCTGGTAGAGCACAGTGAGTTCCCACCATGCCCCCTTTCCTCTGGCCACGAGCTCTTTTTTCTGTTCTGTTAGCAGGGAGCGACATAAAGGTCTCTACACCACTGGAGGATCATCTTTGCACTGGGTGATCCTCCTTCAGCTGCTTTTGCCATCATGAGGACCAGAATACAATGGTAGGGTGGCAGAAAGCAGCTAAACTGCCCATCAATGGAGAATCTGGCCCTATTTCTCTACTGGTCAGTCCTCAGAACATACTTTAAGAAAATATCAGACAGGCCCAAAGGCTGTTAGGTTATTTCCTAATACATATGTCAGCAATGTGTTTCTCTTATTTTTCCATTACTACACTGACTGCCTTTGTAGAGAGAAAAAATAATGGATTTCATGATTTTACACCTTGTATCCTATAAACATTCAGCAAAGCCTTACTCCTACCCTTACTTGCTGTAGGTAAACATTTATAACCCTATATTTCACATGATACCTTGCAATCCAAGGATGATGCTCTATTAACTTCTCCCTAATACAGATTGGAGATGACAGGTGCTAGAGCCATTGTCAGCTGTGCCCGCAGGCTAAGGAATTCCCTGACTAATAACAATAAATCAGTGAATTTTATAGCTATATTTGAAAGCAGGCTGAAAGCTGAAGTGAGCATCACACATTTATTTTTTTCTCAAGCAGTGCATTTGGATGCTCATCATCAAAAGTGCCTTTAAAAAGCAGATTGTATTGCACTATTGTAAAGGAAAGTACATGCCAAAAGGGCCTTCGAGCCAAACCACTCTAGGTTGGGTCCTCACACAACCCTATTCATTCAGTGTAGAAACTCCCTACCATCCACAGAAACACTTCTCTCCTCATGCAACTGGTAAATTACAGCAACAACCTTGTGCAGCCACATGGCCAAGCAAAGATGATGCTCAAGAGTGGAGCCTTCCTGCTAGACCGTCAGATAGTTACTTTTGCTACAAACTGGAAAAACTACCTTCTGAGACTGTCCCAACCTGAGAAGGAACGTCAGATCAGCCTTTAACCATATCCCTAGTTTAAAAAGGCAAGAAAGAATACTAGATTATTCCCTTTTATGGAATGTTTTGTAGAAAGTATTTTCTCCTCCTGTATATTAATGACAACAATAAAAAAGGGCTAAAATTAAGAAATAGTGGCATGAAAAGTTTGTGTTGAAAGACAGAAAGCTTTTAAAGGGATAAAGTAAATTTGTGGTTAGGGTTGAAGTCTTTCTCGTTGTGATCGAGATAATCTTATAAAATTAAGACCTATGTAACAGCTAAGAATCATTAGAATGGTGTGGACGTGAGGTTTCATCCTTAATTGTTTCCTTTTTTGTTAGTGTCCTTAAAAATTTTGATCACAAATCTCTCTTGCTCATCCACTTTACCTGTGTGTCACTTGTTATTCTGTGATACTGTAATAGCTGAGAATCTGGGTAGGCCATTGATTTAACAGCACTGCTTTGATCTGCCACAAAAGGAGCCAGATACTTGGCTACTTTGTGCTGTTTCCGTGGCACAAAGCAGCCAGAAAGCCAGCAGGTTTAAGGGGAATCCTTGGGTGATAAATAGCCTGCAGAGTTCACCACCACCACCTCCCCAATAGCTTCTGACATAGGAGGCATGTTGGAAGCAAGCCTGATGGGAATGGGACATGGACTCTTGTGCTCTAGCAAGCCCGGCCTGACAGAATAACTCCTTGGGGATAGTCAGGTGCAATTTAGAGCAGTCCTGAGGCTACTTTAAATTATACTGGGAATTGAATAAATCCTGGCCAGCTCCACGATACCGTTAGCTACAGCTACTCCCATAAGGCATTAGTAAAGGGTGTAAGAAAGGCCCTGCCAATACTCTCAGGGTGAAGAGCAGGGTATAATATGTTAGGCTTTCTCATAATAGAGAGAAACTCTGCTCAGAGGGCTTTATCTTGAGAGACATTGAGCATCTCCTCCTCCCATTGATTTTAATTGAAATTGTTGTGGGTGCTCGTTGCCTTTCTGCAGCATCAGAGGCAACAGAAGGCAAATCTTACGTATGAAGTAGGTGGCTCACACCTTCTGGGTTAGGAGTGTTCCCTTCAGTAGGTGATGTGTGGGCAAAAGGGGGACAAGGAACAGATGCCCTTCCATATCTGATGAGTAGGTGAATGTAAGCAGGTGGAGGTATAATATCATCTTTGGCTCCATCGCTGAAACCATAACTCTCTGGTTTGATGTGGTGAGCTGATCCCACAAATAAACAAAACCAAACACACACACACAACCAACAGCAAAAGCAATGGAGCACAGGATAAAAAAAGGAATAATCTAGGGAAAGGTTCGTGGAATTTTCTCATAGACAAACTGTCACTCACAAACCTTGTTAAACATGAATATGACATCAAAGCCTTGTGTTAGAAAGTTTTTAGCTGGCTAGGTTAGGCACCTGGAATTTTTAAAAGAAAATGCCATTTTAAGGCTCTCTAATTTTTTTCTTTCACAGTTTGCAACTTTTATTTTTTATTTCAAAATACATACATCAATGGCATTGAAAATTCACAACTTGCTTTTTTAAATACAAAACATCAGC